ATATAACAGCTTCCCAAGATAATCCCCTTGGTAAAGCATACGAATTCCCAAATAACAGTCAGAGTCCAGAATCAGGATACAAGTAGATCTGAGGTCTGGAATCTCCAGCCTGCTTTTTATTAAGGTTACAGACAAGAAGTACACACCCAGGGGGAGGCATTAAATCACCAATCAGGTATAGGTTACAGCCCATACCTCCCTCCCCTCTGATAAACAGTTAACTTAATTAAAACGTGCACTATTTTACCCCAGTTCTGGATGTACCCCAAAAACAGGGGGTACACCTTTAAATCTGGTACCGCTGGATAGTTCTCATTTGTGTGGACAACATATCGAAAAATCAGTCCATTCGGATGAATGGTTCGGGAGTTATGGAACACTAAAGTTTTGACCGACCGCACGGACCATCTAGCCGAAAATAGTTCCATAAGTTTTGGCCCTGCGGTCGGTCTCCGTTTAGGCGAATAAAAGAGACGAAAGCCCTGCCATCCATTCGCATCTTTGGGATCGTTGAAATCCCCATACGAAGTTGCATGTAACTACCGAACGGCCGGTGATTCGGTTGTTCTCGTGCGAAGTTCTGGATGTATGGAGGTCTCAGCGGTGTTCGCCTGTTTGCGTATCCGATTTTAGTTCCACGCGTTGACGGGCAAACACCGCTGTTCGCACGTAAAATGGCTGCGGCCACGTGTAAAGTGCCGAAATGGCGGCCACCTATATTTTACACAGGGAATTCGCCTGAATCCATCCGAAAGGTAGAGATCCTGATTAACGGAGTCATTTCTTCACAAATATCACCGACCTTATTAAACACATCTAAAAACCACAAAACACCCTAACATTCTAAGTGATCGTCTGGGTGGTCGGTGTTCGTATGCATGAACACGTGGCCGCGGCCATATTGGGATGCGAATGCGGACAGCGGTGTTTTGTCATTGAGTGCATGGAACTAAAAATCGGACACTTGACAGCACGAACCCTGCTGGGATTTCCACACCTCGTTCTGTGACGGTAATTACATGATAATCTACCGAACCAACTACACTTAATGCATCTGTGTACCAACAGCTACGTTCGACTATTTTAATGTACTTTGTGTGAAAGAGCCCGGCTGCACAGCCTAATGCTCTGGAACTATTTTGGGCATTAAACCATGCGTGCGGTTGGTCGAAAAGAGACTTCCAGCTAACTCTTGAACCCCTCAACCGATCTAGGTGATTTTTCAGTATGCTGTTCCCCCAGATCGGGGCTATCAGGGGATATATGTTTTATGAGGTTCCCATATGTTTTTGAGGCGTTTATAAAAATTGGTACAAACTTAAAAACACAGGAGATAATTGAGTTGATACCGTAATTAACTCAATTATCTCCCAAACAGAGGGGAAGGATTGTGTACATTATCTGGGAGTGTCTGAATGTAAATGTCGATTGACATTGGAGGAAGGGGATCGTCGAGGGAATCAGGTGAGTAAATAAAAAGGTTTTTAACACTTTATGTCCCCCCGAAGGAGAAGAGGGGGACCAGAGGGCACTATAGTGTTAGGCATACAGCCTTGTATTTCTAGACCTAAAGAATCCCTTTAAGCTGACAGAATACTCGTTCCTGGCCACAATTGCCCGGAAGTTAATTACCGTATATACTGTGTATAAGTCCAGAAATTTTAGTTGTAAACTTAATTTTAAAAAATGCAGAGTCGACATCCACGGATCAGTGCTAGTTTCGATATAATTTCAACTCCCGAACGCCATTCTCCTAGCTGTTCGGGCAGGGGTACAAGTTTAAGCAGGGTTAGCTGGCTTGCGTAGCCGACTCAGAGATCCATGCCGTCGATGACCATGTACCACTGCCTGCGCTTGGGAGACAAGATTCTTTGAACACGTGCATTCGTATATATACAAATGGCAGCCCCAGGGACTGCTTATTTGTTGTTAACAGCCAGGTGGTCAGTGATTACGAGGTGTTAACAAGGCGACCACACAGAGTCTGTTCGGTATCCGGACAGAAGGAGAACAATTCCATTCGAATGCAGTACCCTCGACTTATCCAAAAGTCATAGCACATTTCACAATTCTTGGTCAAAAAACTGCACTCTACTTATAGACGAGTATATACGGTAATAAAAATCACACTATCCATTAACACATACACAGCATGGGGAGAGACAGAACTTCTCTTGAGAATAGGACAACGTAAAAGTAAAGATTTTGGCAGTTTCTACAGGCATATGAAACATACATTCAACCTCCCATTTTACAATGAGAAAGACATAATACAAGAATAAACACAATCAAGGTGTGTGTGTCCCAGCTGGATCTGTAAATAATTTATCAAATTACTGGTTAGTGCCTAGCCACAGACAGAACAACAACAAACTGTGCCATGCTAAGAATAAAACAACCGCTAATTCGGGAAAAATATTGCCTGTTTTGTTCTTTATGGGATGTCCACTCAACCTACAAAAAGACAAGAGTACAACACTGCAGTCTATGGAGGATCCTGCGGGAGCCCTGGTGGATATTATCATGCGATGAGTGAAATAATGCCTTAATGGGAGAAAGTGACAAAACTCAAGAATTTACCGTAGGAAAAAGTCTGTGGTTTTTACTGCGTTTCAGTTTCAATTATATTGCGAGTCTTCGTAAACATTTTAAAAGCTGTTTTTCTTCCTCATGACGTTGTGCTGTTATTTTGGGATGTAGTGAAGAAGTGAGGTGACTTGAAATATCTTTCCAGAATTCTACAATGCAAACAGCATACCCCAAATCCTTATATAGTTCCATCTCCTCCACGCCACATTTCAGCCAGTGGGTGTGTGTCGGAGATTCTACAATTTTTAAATCTATATTTAAGATTCTGAAAATATACCCTTTTAGGTAAACTGTAAGCAGCTCAAAGGAAAGCTGATCTAAGCCTACAAAGACATTTAAATGGAAAAAAAAATGAAAGACTTCAAAGAGCACTGGAATGATATAAATGCATGTATAATCAGCATCTTCTGCTGTCAATTGGTCCTAATTAAAGGAAGCGTGCCTAACGAAGCTGGTGTTTAATGGAGACTGACCGCTAAATTGAAGCCAATTGGAAAAATCAAACAGAATAAAATATCAAAGCACAAGCTCAAATGATTATTGGAAGCAGAAAAGATGTGAGTCCTAACTGCACTATGAGGGGTCCGGTGTGTGCCAACATGAGCCAGGAGCGTGCCAATATAAACCCAGAGTGTGCCAACATGAGGCGGTTAGTGTGCCAATATGAACCCAGAGTGTGCCAACATGAGGCGGGAAGTGTGCCAACATGAGGCGGGAAGTGTGCCAATGAAAGCCCAGAGTGTGCCAATATGAGCCGGGAGTGTGCCAATATGAGCGAGGAGTATGCCAGTAAGAGCCAGAAGTGTGCCAATGTGAGCCAGGAGTGTGCCAACATGAGCAAAAAGTGTGACAACATGAGCCAATAGCGTGCCAGTATGAGCTGAGTGTGCCAGTATGAGCGGGGTAGCGTTCCAAAGTGAGCGGGGAGTGTGCCAGCATGAGCCCAGAGTGTGCCAACATGAGCCAGTAGTATGTAATATAAGCCGGAAGAGTGCCAGTATGAGCAGGGAGTGTGCCAATATGAGCCGGGAGTGTGCCAATATGAGCGAGGAGTGTGTGAATATGAGCCGGAAGCATGCCAATATGAGCAGGGAATGTGTCACTATGAGCCGGAAGTGTGCCAGTATGAGCCGGGAGTATGTGAATATGAGCCTGAAGCGTGCCAGTATAAGCAGGGAGTGTGCCAGTATGAGTCGGAAATGTGCCAATGTAAGCCCAGTGTGCAGAAAACATCAGATAGGTGCAAGGCCTAAATAGTTCTCATAGGGGTGTAAAAGGAAAATGGGAGGTAGAATAGTGTAGTATTTAAAACGTCGGTTGGAGAAAGAAAAAATAATAAAGGGCCACTCACACTTTTCAGGAGCTTAGATACAGCTCCAATTATGCGCCTGGGCGAAATGATCCTCGTCTAAAGATTAAGTGCAGGGTTGATTCTTTGTATTGTTGTAGTTGTGGGAGGTATCCTCATAGAAATAAAAAGATAAATGAAACTTATATGGTGTAGTATGTTGGGCTATGGAGCGAGAGTAGGGATAGATAAAAATGTGCACTCACATGTTATGGAGCCATAGATATGGCTCAAAGGATAGCGTGTGAAGTGGTATGATCCCCACTCAAGGATATGGTGCAAATAGTTGTTCAACGTGGATAGATATATATAGGAGGAAACAAATAAAACCACAATAGTGTAAAACCGTAATATGTAGTGCATAACACAATTAAAAAAAAGATAAAAAAGACCTACTCACATGTTCCAGAGCAAAATGTGGTTTGCTCAATCCAGTGCGCTTAGGTGGTTTTATCCCCACCAAGGATATTGCCCAAAAGATCCAGTAGCAGCAATAGGTCCAAAAAAACCTCTGCATTTGGTGTTTTAGCTGCCATTGGACTGTAATTATTTTACTTAAAGGACCACTATAGTGCCAAGAAAACATACTCGTTTTCCTGGCACGATAGTGCCCTGAGGGTGCCCCCACCCTCAGGGTCCCCCTCCCACTGGGCTCTGGGGAGAGGAAAGGGGTAAAAAGTACCTTTTTTCCAGCGCTGGGCGGGGAGCTCTCCTCTCCGATCCTCCTCTTCGGCTGAATGCGCATGCGCGGCAGGAGCCGCGTGCGCATTCAGCCTGTCTCATAGAAAAGCATTCACAATGCTTTCCTATGGACGCTGGCGTCTTCTCACTGTGATTTTCACAGTGAGAAGCACGCAAGCGCCTCTAGCAGCTGTCAATTTCTCTGAAACTGCTACGTTTATAAAAAATATGGGTTAATCCTAGAGGGACCTGGCACCCAGACCACTTCATTAAGCTGGAGTGGTCCTTTAAGTGCTAAATTATTTCTTTTTATGGTATTCTGTAAGCCCAGAGTGTGCCAACATGAGCCAATAGTGTGCCAGTACGAGCCCAGAGTGTCAATATGACCAAAAAGTGTGCCAGTTATGAGCGAGGAGTGTACCAATATGAGCTAATAGTGTGCCAGTATGAGCGAGGAGTGTACCAATATGAGCTAATAGTGTGCCAGTATGAGCGAGGAGTGTACCAATACACGATGATATATGAGCTTGCAGTGTGTCAATATGAGCCAGTAGTGTGTGAATATGAGCAAGGAGTGTGCGAGTGTGAGCCTAGAGTATACCATTATGAGTGGGGAGTGTGCCAGTATGAGCACAGAGTTTGCCGATATGAGTGGGTAGTGCGCCAATATGAGCCGGAAGTGTTCCAATATGAGCCAGGATGGCAAAGCCTTCTCTGCTCCCTCTTATCTGCCATTAATTCCCAGCACTCCCATACTCTGCTCCTCATTATTACTCAGTACAACCCTTCTCTGCGCCCACTTGGATATGTTTTTTTCTTGCATGCAATTTGTACATGTTATTACTCAGTACTGACCTACTCTGCTTCTTAAATCTTTACCTTCTTAGTCAGTACTCCCCTATTCTCCCCCACCTTATTATTCAACACTCCTGCTTTCTCTTATAACATCCTTAAAAACGACACTTCACTGCTCAAATTTTAAAATAAAATCAACATCACTGTTTAGTAGATATACTTCCAGTGAAACCGTATTCCTTTAATTATGCATTTTTCCCTTGGGGTATGTCTACACACTGTTTGCAAAACCTGCAGATCGCGTGTCTGCAGCCTTTGCAAGCCCTCCCATTCGAACCCCACCCAGACTTTCTAATCACAGATTCCCAATGCAGCTCAATGAGAAGTCTTTGCAAGGCAGGTGCCCTGGGCAATTGCTGCCTCTTGAGTTTATCTCCACTGAGCTAAACAAACCAGGAAGTAACAGGACCAGTTGTCTGACAGCCAGGAGGTCTAACAATATTAATTTATAAAAACGTTCCTTTGAAATTAGCACTTTTTTGTAAAACAGAAAAGAAAAAAAAAAATAGATGACACTTAACACATAAATCACTTCAGTCAACTAAAGTGCTTTAGGGGTCTGGAGTGACCCTCTAAGATAATTCACATCAAACACAAATATATAATTCCTGCAATCCATATTTAACTTGTTACTCCCCTATTGGATTGTAAGCTTGTAGTCAGAGTGTTGAAAATCTTACTTTATCTGTGTCTGTTAAACTGTTGCATGTTTTATGAAATTCTAAACGAAAACCTGGTTTTGGACACAAGACTTTAGCGGCGCAGTAGTAGAAAGCAACTTTTATTTATAATTTACAGAAACAAGTCCTTCTTTACAATTAAGACTTCTTGTAGGTATCGCCGCGCCCAGCGGGAGCCTTGGGCTGCTTTCTACCATGCAACGCTCCTCTGCCCGTCCCCGGCCGTCTCCTTTTCTGTCCCACTGACTCTTCCTTAAGTTCCTGTATCCACAGAGAATCATAGCTGCCAGGTGCCTGATAGCCAGGCTCAGATGGATTCAAAGGGTCCTTACTGAGCAGAACAAAGATGGCTGGGGTGTTTCTTTTAACAGTTAAGGAGTCCAAACCTACATCGGAAACAATAGGCTCCCAGATCTCCTCCGTCTCTCTGAAGCAGATCTTTGTAATCTGGTGCAGATCCTGTAGACATCTCTTCATGATCTCCACACAGGAGATGGTCTTTCCTAGACCTTTCCCGGAGCCACTGAACGCAATCTGTCGGACATTCTGAGCCTCCATCTTGCCCATAGCAAAACCCATTATATTGCGGATTTTACTGCCATCCTTCACCTTCATTTCAATGATGTCAGAAGGCAGGTCTGGAATAGGAACTTTCATCTCCTTCTCCAGCACTTTCACCTTCCTGTAATTCTCCATTAGTTAGCGGTGAAGGTCTAAATGGGAAAAAAAAAAAAAGAACTGTGAGATTGTGGACAAAAAGGAGGGGTAAAAAAACAAACAAACAAAAAAAACACTACTTGCAACGGTTCCAGTATTGTTAGTTTCTTGCCATTTAGCATTATTATATCGCCCAGCGTGCATTGTTTTGTTTATTATTGCAGCTTATTTATGTTTTAAGTTTTTATATTATTATTATCATTTATATAGCGCCAACAGATTCCGTAGCGCTTTACAATATTTTGAGAGGGGGAATGTAACAATAAATAGGACAATTACAAGAAAACTTACAGGAACAATAGGTTGAAGAGGACCCTGCTCAGATGAGCTTACAGACTATAGGAGATGGGGTATTTGAAACATTAGGGCAAGAAATATCAAGTAGGAGTGAAGCAGAGCTGGAGGAGAGAGCAAAGCACTGTCCCATAGGAGAGAGCAGGAGACAGGTATGTAAGGTAGAGAATACTCTGGGAGGCCATAAGCTTTCCTGAAGAGATGGGTTTTAAGGCCCTTCTTAAATGATTGAAGAGTAGGGGAGAGTCTGATGGCAGTAGGCAAGCTATTCCATAGGAGAGGAGCCACCCGCGAGAGGTCCTGCAAGTGCGAGTTGGCCGTACGGGTGTGAGCAGCGGTCAGGAGGTGGTCACGGGCAGAGCGGAGGGTACGAGGAGGGGCATATCTATGGATTAGTTTAGAGATATAAGTGGGGCTAGAATTGTTCAGTGCTTTAAATGTTTGGGTTAGCACTTTGAATTGACTCCTATAGCATACAGGGAGCCAATGTAAAGAATGGCAGAGGGGTGAGGTGTGAGAGGACCGACTAGAGAGGAAAATCAGTCTAGCTGCAGCATTCATTACAGACTGTAGCGGGGCAATACGGCTTTTGGGGAGACCAGTCAGGAGAGGGTTACAGTAACCCATGCGGGAAATTACTAGAGCATGGACAAGCTCCTTGGTAGCATCTTGCGTAAGAAGGGGCGAATGCGGGTTATGTTTTTGAGTTGGAACCTACAGGACTTGGCAACAAACTGGATGTGAGGCTCAAAGGTGAGACCAGAGTCAAGTATGACGCCAAGACAGCGCGCTTGCAGGGATGGACTTATGTGGATATCACTGACTTGAAGGGAGAGCGAGAGAGGAGGATCAGTATTAGGAGGAGGAAAGACTAGGAGCGCAGTTTTAGAGAGGTTAAGTTTCAGAAAGCGTGAGGACATCCAGTCAGAGATGGAAGAAAGGCAAGCAGTGACACGTTGCAGGACGGCAGGGGAGAGGAGAGGTATATCTGAGTGTCATCAGCGTATATGCATGTATTATAATTTTAATTGTGTTTCAAAGCAGGTGAACACAGGCTGACTGATATTCCAAATTGTCACATTAACCTAAATAAGCAGATTACCAGCAAAAATCTAAACGCTACAAAGGGTCATGGTGTAACTTAAAGAGACACTGTAGGCACTTTAACAGCTTCATCCTACCCCTGTCCTACACCCCAAACCCCAAAACTAAACTAAAGATAAGGCTTGGAAGTGCGACTCTGGATATAAAAGTATATAAGAGATATACTCTCCCATCTGAGGTCATGGAAGCCATGCGAGGTCCAATCAAATCCTTCTTACAGAGGAGTCTTTGATTGGACCGTTTACTACGCTCAGAGCGCATGCACACACGGAGTCTGTAAGGGAGAGGGGGAAAACTTGATAAAAACTAACAAATGCTATAGGGAGGGGAGATAAATGCGTCTCCTTGAAAGCTCTGATTCCAACTGTTGCCGGCATGCTGTGTGTGCTGACAACAGACAGAATTTCTGCACAGAATTAGACCGCCGGGAACAGAGCTGCACCTACAGACTCCTATCACTACAGGCACTTCTAAAACCAGAATAAGTCATGGTGTTTGGAGTAAAAAGGTTTTTGTAATAGGACATTAATGGTTTCAATAGACCACACATTCCCTCTAACTAGCATCTATACAAGCAGCATGTCCCATCAAGCTCAATGTATTAATAAATAACCCCATGTCTAATGCATCAAGGCATTGAGCACCAGGAGGAGGGGCAAACTATCCTATTAACCAATTCAGTGCCAGACTGATATTAGTAGACAGTTTAACCCATTCAGTGCCAGACTAATATTAGTACAGTTTAACCCATTCAATGCCAGACAAATCTTATTAGTAAAGACAGTTTAACCCATTCAGTGCCAGACTCTGATATTATTAGTACAGACAGTTTAACCCATTCAGTGACAGACTCTGATATTGTTACATACAGTTTAACCCATTCAGTGTCAGACTCATATTATTATTATTGACAGTTTAACCCATTCAGTGACAGACCCTGATATTAGTACAGACAGTTTAACCCATTCAGTGCCAGGCTCTGATATTATTACAGACAGTTTAACCCATTCAGTGCCAGACTCTGATATCATTATTAGTACAGACAGTTTAACCCATTCAGTGCCAGGCTCTGATATTATTATTACAGACAGTTTAACCCATTCAGTGCCAGACTCTGATATTATTACAGACAGTTTAACCCATTCAGTGCCAGACTCTGATATTATTACAGACAGTTTAACCCATTCAGTGCCAGACTCTGATATCATTATTATTAGTACAGACAGTTTAACCCATTCAGTGCCAGGCTCTGATATTATTATTACAGACAGTTTAACCCATTCAGTGCCAGACTCTGATATTATTATTACTACAGTTTAACCCATTCAGTGCCAGGCTCTGATATTATTATTACTACAGTTTAACCCATTCAGTGCCAGGCTATGATATTATTATTACTACAGTTTAACCCATTCAGTGCCAGGCTCTGATATTATTACAGACAGTTTAACCCATTCAGTGCCAGGCTCTGATATTATTATTACAGACAGTTTAACCCATTCAGTGCCAGGCTCTGATATTATTACAGACAGTTTAACCAGTTCAGTGCCAGGCTCTGATATTATTATTACAGACAGTTTAACCCATTCAGTGCCAGGCTCTGATATTATTATTACAGACAGTTTAACCCATTCAGTGCCAGGCTCTGATATTATTATTACAGACAGTTTAACTCATTCAGTGCCAGACTCTGATATTATTATTACAGACAGTTTAACCCATTCAGTGCCAGGCTCTGATATTATTATTATTATTACAGACAGTTTAACCCATTCAGTGCCAGGCTCTGATATTATTATTATTGTTACAGACAGTTTAACCCATTCAGTGCCAGACTCTGATATTATTATTACAGACAGTTTAACTCATTCAGTGCCAGACTCTGATATTATTATATTATTACAGACAGTTTAACCCATTCAGTGCCAGACTCTGATATTATTATTACAGACAGTTTAACCCATTCAGTGCCAGGCTCTGATATTATTATTACAGACAGTTTAACCCATTCAGTGCCAGACTCTGATATTATTATTATTATTACAGACAGTTTAACCCATTCAGTGCCAGGCTCTGATATTATTATTATTGTTACAGACAGTTTAACCCATTCAGTGCCAGACTCTGATATTATTATTATTATTACAGACAGTTTAACCCATTCAGTGCCAGGCTCTGATATTATTATTATTATTACAGACAGTTTAACCCATTCAGTGCCAGGCTCTGATATTATTATTACAGACAGTTTAACTCATTCAGTGCCAGACTCTGATATTATTATTACAGACAGTTTAACCCATTCAGTGCCAGGCTCTGATATTATTATTACAGACAGTTTAACTCATTCAGTGCCAGGCTCTGATATTATTATTACAGACAGTTTAACCCATTCAGTGCCAGGCTCTGATATTATTATTATTACAGACAGTTTAACCCATTCAGTGCCAGACTCTGATATTATTATTATTACAGACAGTTTAACCCATTCAGTGCCAGACTCTGATATTATTATTATTATTATTACAGACAGTTTAACCCATTCAGTGCCAGACTCTGATATTATTATTATTATTACAGACAGTTTAACCCATTCAGTGCCAGGCTCTGATATTATTATTACAGACAGTTTAACTCATTCAGTGCCAGGCTCTGATATTATTATTACAGACAGTTTAACCCATTCAGTGCCAGGCTCTGATATTATTATTACAGACAGTTTAACTCATTCAGTGCCAGGCTCTGATATTATTATTACAGACAGTTTAACCCATTCAGTGCCAGGCTCTGATATTATTACAGACAGTTTAACCCATTCAGTGCCGGGCTCTGATATTATTATTACAGACAGTTTAACCCATTCAGTGCCAGGCTCTGATATTATTACAGACAGTTTAACCCATTCAGTGCCGGCTCACGCAGTAACCTACCGGCCCAGGTTAGTGCACACTCGCTCTCACAGGTTCATCCCGACGCCATTTTAGCCACACGTCGAAGGGGCGTGGTTATCCGATATCACCAGCCAATCCGCTTTCAGCTGTCTAACCAATTACATTAACTCGCCGAATTCAGTGCGTGTCAGCGGTGCAACGCAAACGTCATCAGCGGCGGCGGCGTGCTGCGTGCAGCTTGCAATCCAGACAGCACATACTGCCACCTGCTGGCCACACTGAGAACTGCCGCCTTGTTTACCTGCTCTCACTATTCACAATGGGTCAGCTCTCCATCATACAGTGATACAATGTCTAACATTCACTAAAACACCAACTCCATCTGTCTGTTTATTCATTTACCCTTTAATGTTTCTTAAACACTTACACCCCGTAACTATGGCCCCTGTGACTGCCGGCCTCCCACCCCGTGACTACGGCCCCTGTGATAAAACTTGGTTTAAATCGCCGTCTGCCGGCCTCCC